GTTCAATTACTCACTATCTACACACACATTACATTACCTTCCCGCGTCACGTTTTCCCCCTCTTATATATACCAGACAACCCTATCTAGTAAATACTAGAGCATTCATGAAGGAACAAGATAGTTCTAGAAACTAGAGGGCGCCACAGTAGTCATGTGACTCGCTGACGCAACACAGGGAATCTAGCTTGTAAACATCCTGCCTCACTAGATATCAAGGCAATGTCTGTTCGCCAAGGTTATAACTTGTCTATGTTTATTTAACTAGCCTTTAACCCTGATTTCTATAATAGTCATTCTATTACTGAAGACTTGTTTGTTCGTTTTGTTGCTAAGCACAAAGAAACATGGTATGCCTACTACGGGTATCCAAACCCGATTTTAAGCGTCGAAAGCCTAACTGAAGACGTATCTAATAGAAATATTGCAAAGAAAATCGATTCAAGTATATCATTCAATATTAAATCACTATATGTGATTTCCATTATGAATAATATTTATTTTGCCTTTGTAAGTGTTTATTTCAACTTACCTGAACATTTAGCCGAAAAAATGCTTGCCTTCCAGTTTGAAAATACCAAATATCATTGCATAATAATAAATACTTTTCGTGGCAAGTGTTTGTTTATTCCTTTGTTTGGGTTCTGATGTAAAGGTGTTAAAAATAATTTAATGTTATATATATTAACTGGTATTTCTTTCAGTTTGATTTCTCCACCAGATGTCACTTTAGTTAAATTCTGGAAAGGCGTTTTTGAGTTGAAATTATATACAATAATGTGTAATACTCTGGTAACTTGTTATTGATTATTTTCATTGTTGTTTGATTTAACTGTGAACATTTTGTCATGAGATAAAGTGTGCTATTAGTTTATTGAATTACAAAATGAAATTTGAAAGTCTTACGCTGAGACTAACTTTTAATTAAGTCAACTGGAGCTTTGACAAGTTGACTAAAGAGTAATGTTGCATCTGTACATGAACTGATGGAGTGGAGCTGGAACTAGGAAGTTAAAATACTCTTATAAGTTATACTGTTGTAGTCTTGATTTTGTTTTTAAACATACCAGAAATGATATATTCATAAAGGGCCAGATGTAATCCAAAAAAAAAGTATATATTTTATGCGTGTTTTTTAAACGTAATTTCAAATTCAATTTACATTTGAAATTAAATAAAACAGCTGCCCCAAACTAGTGGGAATTAAGTTATTTTCAGGAAAGAAGTTTTTAGGAGTTGAAACTTATATATATATACACAATCTTTTTCTTTTTAGAAAAATAATAATTGTAATTGGTAAGAAAGTCATTTTCAACATTATGTTTTTAAAAGGTAAAAAATATCCTCCAGAACATTTTCTCACCTGCTATTGATGGAAAATTTAAAGTAGTCAAATATTACTAGTAAGCATGTGATTATCATTTTGTAATGACTGATTTACAGAGGCTGACTACTATAGATGTTTAATGACATGAAATTCAGGGGTTGACATCTTTACTACCATCATCATAGTGATTAGAAGGGTTTAATGCTCACTCTGTAGTTACATTTTAACCAATCAGAATTTACAGTGTCTAAAGTTTAAATCTAACAAATAAATGAAATAGATTAAAGCAAGAAATAGTGTTGTGATTTCTTTATTTGTTCATATTATTTGTGATGTTTTAGAATATTTAAGTGGTTATTTCAAAAAATACTGTAACTTTTCTTCTGCATATTGTAATATTTTCAAATATACAAGACTGAAAAACTGCAAAGTTGAAACATGTTTTTACCTTCACAAGGAAAATAATTTTATTAAAATAAATTACCTATAAGAAATTAATCCATCTCTGTAATTTTGTATACTTTTGTATTTGTTTTAAATTTAATTACACAAAAATATTAAAATCATTGCACTAATCATTTACTATTTCATGCATTCAGATATGTTATCTGAATTTCATTTCTATGATTTATTGTTTGAGATTATTTAAAATGAGTCCTTTAAGTTTATGTCACTTTGAACATATTTGATATTAAGTTTATTGAACGAAAATGTTTGTCTTTTCTTAGTATTATGCAGGACTAATGGAATCTTTTAGCAGGAATAAAGATGGAAGAATTATCTGGCAATGGTGTTTTCAGTGAGCATGTTAACCAAAGAGATCTACCAAAGCTTCATCCACCAACACCAACGAAATCTAAATATTTAACTGACACCATCCAGGAGCTAGAAAAACTTTTAAAAGAAGAACAGCACCAACAAGTATATTGCTCTTATTTTGTTGTATAAATTACTTTGTGACAAGTTTTATATAGTGTATGAGGTACCTTTATAATGTATTTATGTGGTGTATATTGTACATTTGTCAAGTGGTATTTTTACGCTTTGTACCTTTACGATCTGTTTAGACCTTGTCCATGGTACCCTTATGGTATTCTTATACCTTGTCCATGGTACTTTTATGGTATGCTTATACTTTGTCCATGGTACCCTTATGGTATGTTTATACCTCGTACATTGTACCATTGTGAAGTGTTTATACTTTGTCCATGGTACACTTGTGAAGTGTTTACACCTTGTTCTTGGTACACTTGTGAAGTGTTTACATGTTGTTCATGGTACCCTTATGGTATGTTTTTACCTTGTCCATGGTACACTTGTGGTATGTTTACACCTTGTACGTGGTACACTTGTGAAGTGTTTACATCTTGTCCATGGTTATGTAGTTGTAGTATCTTTTTTATGTAGTTGTAATATCTTTTTTTTTCCAATATGATGACTAGGTATATAGCATGTGAAGGCCATTATTCAAACTGTATAAAAATAGAAGATTTTTATTATTATGTTTCTTTATTTTTTGACAAAGGATGAACCAAATGATAACCTTAAATGTTTCAAGTACTACTTATGGAGATAAAACTAAATATCTTACAGAAAACAAAACCATACATATGATGTGTCTTGACTGAAGTTTTGGGAGTATACTACAGATCTTGTATAAGTTTGTTAGTCAGGAAGGAGAGAAAGAACATAGTTTGCAAAATTCATTGTCTTATAATATTAACCAGTACAAGTTATATCATATGTACATACGTTTTTACTTTCTTTTGTAGGTAAAAGAAATAATAAGATTCTGCCACTGGCAGATTAACCATCCCATCAGACAGAATTTATGGGTAACAATATGTAATTATCACAACAACAAAAATGAACATGGAGAAGGATATTATTGCAGCAAAATGAATGAACTATTAGGTGAGTTATATAAAGGAAGGTTAAAGTGTGTTACATCATTCAAAATAATTATTTCATGAATTTTTTAGAGGAATGCAGAACCCTTTTACATCATTCAAAACATTTATCAGACAAATTGTTTAGAGGAACTTGGAGCATCAATGTAAAACAATTACTAGGTGAGGTGAATGAACAAAGGTTAAACTGGCAACAACTACCTTGTTCAGAGTAAAGTTGTAAAGAAAGACTTTGAAGGCAAACCCACAAAAGTGGCTTGGGTAGAATCTTTTTGTTAGAGATGCTGGTGTGCTATGTTAAGTCTTTCCCCCATTGGAACTTTAATCAAGTGACTTATTTTAATGTTTTCAAGAAAGGTATCCATGTTTTGCTAACTTCTGTGCTAGGTTGGCTGAGTGTGATTTGTATCTAATAATTTTATTATTATTGCAGTTTGTTATAGGTTCTGGAAGGATTGTTCGGTATGAGAGAGTCTAGTGTGTCTTATGTTCCTGAATTTAACTTTTGTTCGTATTAGAATCCACATTCAAAGGTGATGCAAGGAATGGTGTTTGTACTCTCCATTGATTACATTTTCAGAAAGAAAATTTTGTCATAAGGGGAACATGGCTGTGTGTGTTTGTAATTTTTGTCATGATTATATTTGGTTTGTTTCTTCCTTATTTTATTCATTGTCAATGGGTATGTTGTTATTTCATCCAAAATATTTATTAGGTGAGTTGTTCAACCTTCCTTTAAATAACTCACCTAATAATTATATTGGAAGATGTAACACACTTCAACCTTCCTTTAAATAACTCACCTGATAATTATATTGGATGATGTAACACACTTCAACCTTCCTTTAAACAACTCACATAATAATTATATTGGATGATGTAACACACTTCAACCTTCCTTTAAACTGTGTTACATCATCCAATATAATTATTAGGTGAGTTGTTTAAAGGAAGGTTGGAGTGTGTTACATCATCCCATATAATTATTATGTGAGTTATTTAAAGGAAGGTTTAAGTGTGTTGCATCATCCAATATAATTATTAGGTGAGTTATTTAAAGGAAGGTTGAAGTGTGTTATATGATCCAATATAATTATTATGTGAGCTATTTAAAGGAAGGTTTAAGTGTGTTACATCATCCAATATAATTATTAGGTGAGTTATTTAAAGGAAGGTTTAAGTGTGTTACATCATCCAATATAATTATTAGGTGAGTTATTTAAAGGAAGGTTGAAGTGTGTTATATGATCCAATATAATTATTATGTGAGTTATTTCGAGGAAGGTTTAAGTGTGTTACATGATCCAGTATAATGGTTTTTTAAGACTCCTAAAGTAGGTAACTTAATATGTAGAATTGGAATGGCACCTGGATTATAACTTTGTTTTCATCAGTACTTACAACTTGATATGTCACCCTGGTTATAACTGGAATATAGCTGTTTTCATCAGTACTTATAATCTGCTCTGTTATACGAGTTTGATTTGCTTATTACTAAGTGCATAACCTGCTAAACAACTTAGACCCTTCCCATCATTTCTTTAAAACTGATGTAACTTACACTGGTTGTAAGTTTGTTTTCATTATATTTACAAAGTGATGTTTCATAAGTGTTATACCTTGTCAATTGTGTCATCTCAGCTAAAGATACGAGTCTATGACTAATGTCCTAAGATCTTCCACTTCTCATTAAACAGTTCTCAGTTTCCCTTTATTTGTAGAAATAATAGTGTTGCTTAAATCTATAGGTACTATAAAGATATCACCTACAAGACAAAAGATATTGAACTTTAAGTAGTAATTGATTTATTTTATAGGAGATCTGAAGATGCCACCAAGCCTGCCATCATTTGTTGATCCAGCCTATTGCATGTACTACTTTCTGAACAAGTCTGGACAGCAGGCAGTAGAGCGAGTCTTGTACATACTGGCTGATCTTAGTCCATTCATAATGTATTGTCCGCTAGCTTATCCTCTAGCAAGTATCTTCATGCACTACCTTTCTGAAGAGGAGGTCTTCTGGGCTTTATACAAGTTGATGACTTCAAAAACAGAGAAGTTTCTTAGTTGCACTCGAATGGACCATGAAGTTAAGTGTCATGCTCTGGTCCAACTCACAAGAAAGTTTGCTGTAAGTGAAGTATCATAACCTGAATTATGTATTGAGTTTTCAGTTAAATATAATCTGTTGACTGGATTGTAAAGCTGTGTCATAACCTGAATTATGTATTGAGTTTTCAGTTAAATATAATCTGTTAACTGGATTGTAAAGCTGTGTCAAAACCTGAATTATGTATTGAGTTTTCAGTTAAATATAATCTGTTGACTGGATTGTAAAGCTGTGTCATAACCTGAATTATGTATTGAGTTTTCAGTTAAATATAATCTGTTGACTGGATTGTAAAGCTGTGTCATAACCCGAATTATGTATTGAGTTTTCAGTTAAATATAATCTGTTGACTGGATTGTAAAGCTGTGTCATAACCCGAATTATGTATTGAGTTTTCAGTTAAATATAATCTGTTGACTGGATTGTAAAGCTGTGTCATAACCTGAATTACGTATTGAGTTTTCAGTTAAATATAATCTGTTGACTGGATTGTAAAGCTGTGTCATAACCTGAATTATTTATTGAGTTTCAGATAAGTGTAATCAGTTGTCTGGATCATGAAGTTGTCATAACCCAAAGTGTGTATCAGGTTTTCAGTTAAATATAATCTGTTGACTGGATTGTAAAGCTGTGTCATAACCCGAAGTGTGTATCAGGTTTTCAGTTAAATATAATCTGTTGACTGGATTATAAAGCTGTGTCATAACCCAAAGTGTGTATCAGGTTTTCAGTTAAATATAATCTGTTGACTGGATTGTAAAGCTGTGTCATAACCCGAAGTATGTAATGGATTTTCAACTAAGTTTAATTTGTTGTTTGGATTATGAAGTTGTCATAATCCGGGTTTTTAGCTCAGTTTAATATATTGTCTAGATTATCAAATTAAGTGTCATAACTTGAAGTATGTGTTGAGTTTTCAATTTCGTGTAATATGGTGTCTGTATCATGAAGTTATGTGTCATGAACTGAAATATGTATTTAGTTAATAGCTAAGTGTAATATGTTGTATGGATTATGAAATTAAATATCATACTTTGGTATTTCATTTTGTAAGTTTGTGTTTGGTTTATAGCTAAGTGTAATAAGTAGGTGAATATGCAAATGTAGAGGTTATTTTTATTTCTAGAAAGAGGCTTACACACATCTCAAGAAAGGCTTGAAAGAGAGGGAAAACTTGGCCTTGCTGTTTTTGGGTTGGCAATGGTGGATTTTTAAAGCCCTGCCTTTTCATTATCTTGTAAGTTTGTTCTTGGAACTATTAACTGGATTATATGAATCTTTGTTTGGTTAATATTATTTTTAAAATTCATTTATAGCTGAAGAAATGAGATGTAAGCATTCTGATCTTAAGTTTTTAATCCTGTTAAATACATACAAATTGAACATAACTTTCAGGATTTTGCTTTTATTAAACAATGATCAATAGTCAGAATTACTGTGCTCATTTGCCTGTATTAGAGTGGTAGAAAAGATTTCCAGTAAATGTTTTAAGTTGCATAAGAAAAAAAGTGGTATCCCACTGAGGAAGCATCACAATTATCTCAATATTTTGTCAGACTATTTTTATTCCAATTCTGTATCAAAGTTGAACATTTTTAGTGAAGAGCTTCATTTATTGACTCTCTGTTGAGAATAGTTTTATATATTCCTCACATTCAGGGAAGTCACAATATGTATTTCTGTCCTTGTTTCTCTTGTGTAAAAATGTCACAACTATAACTTTTCAAACTGTCTGATTCACAGAATGGTATTAATGCACTTCGACTCTATCTTTGAAAAAGGGTATATCATCTACAGATATTTCTGGTAGGAAAATTCATTTTTACAATAAAAATAAGAACTATGGTAATTACAGAAAACATCGTACATCATAGTTTCTATGTAATAACATCGTACATCATAGTTTCTATGTAATAACATCGTACATCATTGTTTCTATGTAATAACATCGTACATCATTGTTTCTATGTAATAACGTCGTACATCATTGTTTCTATGTAATAACGTCGTACATCATTGTTTCTATGTAATAACGTCGTACATCATTGTTTCTATGTAATAACGTCGTACATCATTGTTTCTATGTAATAACATCGTACATCATTGTTTCTATGTAATAACGTCGTACATCATTGTTTCTATGTAATAACGTCGTACATCATTGTTTCTATGTAATAACGTCGTACATCATTGTTTCTATGTAATAACGTCGTACATCATTGTTTCTATATAATGACGTCGTACATCATAGTTGCTATGTAATAACATCGTACATCATTGTTCCTATGTAATAACATCGTACATCATTGTTTCCCACTTGTTAGATGCTTATTACAAAGAAATAAATGCACATATATAAATAAATATGGCCATGCAGCATTTTGACTCTCAGATGTAAGCAAGTAATGATAACAGAAAATACAAGATAAAAAGAATATTTTAATAGTGTGAAGCAAGAGGATCAGTTAACTAACAACAATTTATATACCTTGTTGGCCTTGCTTCACTCAGCTCTTCAATTAAAGTATAAAGATTTAGTATCAGATTTTTTTTCAGTGATTCCACTAATCAGTCAGCTCTTCAGTTAAAGTGTAAAGATTTTGTAGTCAGATTTCTTCCAATGATTCTGCTAATTTCTTAGCTATTTAATTAAAGTATAAAGATTTAGTAGTCAGATTACTATCAATTATTCAACTAATTGCCCATCTCCACTATTCAAATGTTAATGTTTTGTAGTCAGAATGTTTCTGATTAATCTATTAACTGCCTGGCTCTTCTATTAAAATGTAGTGTAAAGATTTTTAGTCAGACTGATTCTAACTATTCCACTAATCTTTCCATTTTACTATTATAGTGTAAAGATTTAGTAGTTGGACTTTCCTATTATTCCACCAATCTCCCAGATTTTGTGTTAAAGTGTAAAGATTTAGTAGTCAGACTGTTTTAAATTTTTTTGATGGATGAACTTTATTATCACATCGTAAATGACCCTGTCAAGGTTACAATATTGTGCAGTGAAGAAGAAGCAAACTGCCCTGACTAGGACTTAAAGCCACAGTCAAACTAATGAAACTTAAAACTCTCGGCAGATAACTTTATTATCACATCGTAAATGACCCTGTCAAGGTTACAATATTGTGCAGTGAAGAAGAAGCAAACTGCCCTGACTAGGACTTGAAGCCACAGTCAAACTAATGAAACTTAAAACTCCCAGCAGATAACTTTATCATGAACTTAGTCAGAAACCTAATGCCATCATACTTTAGATAGTAACTTTTACCTATGTACCTACCTGTAAGCTGTATTATAAAATTTAGCTCAGAATTAATATAAAAGTTAAATTTGTTTCTTTTGGATAGATGCATGTTCTAATTTGTGTCTTCTAACATGATATACAACATATTATTAATAAACTTACAATTCAAGCTTAAATATGACTTTATCTAGAGACTTTCATAATGCGTTTGTGATTGAAATTACTTTCTTTGAAAGAAACATATTTCACATCACAGGTGCTCTTGTAAAATGTTATTAAAAAATCTGTGAGTTGTAAGTGAATTTAGCAGTGCAGAAGTTGAATACATTATATTATAAAACTTTTGGAGCCTCACCATGTCATTACAATCTATTTCACCACATCTGTTAATGTTTAATGTGATTTACTAAAACTTCATGCTCACAAATGAACATAGAAATTGATTCACCAAAAGAATGTTTCTCATTAGATGGTCTTGCTTGAAGATAAATAGAAATATTAAAAGTACACCAAAAAGAATGTTTTTCATTCATTAGATGGTCTTGTTGAAGATAAATAAAAATATTAAAAGTACACCAAAAAGAATGTTTCTCATTAGATGGTCTTGTTGAAGATATTTTAATACTTCTATTAGTGAACTTTTAATACTTCTATTTATCTTCAACAAGACCATCTAATGAGAAACATTCTTTTTGGTGTACTTTTAATACTTCTATTTATCTTCAAGCAAGACCATCTAATGAGAAACATTATTTTTGGTGTACAAAAAGAATGTTTCTCATTAGATGGTCTTGCTTGAAGATAAATAGAAATATTAAAAGTACACCAAAAAGAATGACCATCTAATGAGAAACTTGTTGAAGATAAATAGAATATTAAAAGTACACCAAAAAGAATGTTTCTCATTAGATGGTCTTGTTGAAGATAAATAGAAATATTAAAAGAAATCTAACTTAACGAGTCTTCCTTCTTGTATCAGGTCCGAGTGATAGACTGTTTTGTTTTTGAAGGAAGTAAGGTACTTTTTCGTGTTGCTCTGGCTATTCTCGTTCTATACGGCAAACATTCAAGTGAGTATTTAGATATTCCACACTAAGTAAATAGAACACATTTTGTACATGTTTGTTATCAATTTGTAAATTTAATGTTAGTAATTTTAGATTTGTATATTTGATTCTTTTTTTTCATGTGTCTTTTTTTCTCATTTTTTAGAAATGCTATATGTTACCAGTGTTTTCATAAATATTTCTCAGCTTCTTTATACTTGTAAATAAACTACAGGATTAGTGCTTACTTCATGTAGCACTTGTAGGTAACCATAAAAAATGCTGATTTACTAATCTTTCCTAATTTGTAGTAGTTTTGCAACATTTTGTAGCTACTAGTGATCATACATTGTTAATCAGTGTTATATTAACATTAAAGTAATATTTTCTATTACTTCCCATCTGAAATAGTTGGAATTTTAAAGTATTTATTGATATTACAGCACACCAACTACAAACGTTAACAATGTTAATAAAAAGCTAGATAATTGGCCTGTCTTTATATCTAGACTGCTTGTACAGTAACACATTAAATTAAAATATCAAAATGTTACTCTCCTTTTCAAATATTAATGCTTGGGGGACACATATCAGTGGCTGCCAGTATAAACCTCAAACACTCAACAAAAAATAACTAAAATAAATATGGAGAAAAAAACAGTAACATCCTAAATCAATTTGTGAGTAAGATGTGAAACATCTTTGTATGGTCTTTATGTTACATACATGTACAATAAACATTGTAATTTTATTTTGAGAAATACTCTGGGTGTGAACCATCCAACACATGTTTAAAGATACTTCTTTTAATTTTGCATTGTTGTGCTTTTAAAGTACTAATTATATATTGAAATCTGTTCCATATGCTATTATTACTTTGTATAATATTTATTATGTGCACAGTAGGATACTTCTCTCATGCCTACTCCTGGCCCTGTTAAGGTAATAATTGAAAAAAACCCTGCTTTGCAGAGTGAGGGACCTATATCAGTGATTCTATAGGCTCAAACCATTCTGATTTTAATGGAATAATTCCAGTTTTTGACTAGATTGGGTTATTAGGATCATAGCCTGTAAATTCATGTTTTTTTTGTTTTTTTTTTTTACAGATTTATTATAACTTGATATGGTTAATGTGTTATTGGGGTAAAATAAAACCATCACACCATTGATATAATAGCTGTTCAAGAGTTTGTATTTTTGCAGCTGTACTAAAACAAGACTCAAACACTTTCATAGCACTAAATAAAATATCAGCCAATTAGAAAATATACTAATAGCTAGCCCATTCAGATGGTGGGACAGCCATATAAGTACTGTGAAAAAAGATGTTGAAGCAAAAGCCATGTAACAAAGAATGTTTAACCAAAAAAAGCATTGGGTTAATAGATCCATACCATCCTTTCAAAATGAAATCACAGTGCGTTTACTATGTAATTGATACCCACAAAATAAAGGCAACAATAAATAAATAAATCAACTACAACAGTACAACAATTACAACATAAGTTCAAATTGCATTTCTTTACAGAACCCAGCCATACTGGGACATAACTCTTTCACCAAAATTAAGAACACAAAACTACAGAAGGACAAATCTAAGGTAGGTTTAACAGCTGTACAATATTCATAAATCAAACTATAGGTAAAAATAACAAACAAAAACACCAAGCACAAAAATTGCAGACAGCATCCTGATACTGAACTCTTGTCAAGCATGATACTTGTTGTGGAACTGTAGGTCTGAATATACTTCCAATTTGCTGTGCATTAAGTAATCCAATATAATTGAAAACCACGCATTTTGTACTCATGGCAGAAAAAAAAACTGCAGAAATTAAATCATTCCCATTTTAGTGCTCGGATTTCAATTTCTTTAGATTGGCATTCTTATTTTACATCAGTTAGGTCGGTATCTCTCTGAAGGGATTTAGCAGCAGACACCTAGAATTGAAGGTTTTCAAGACTAATAACATGCAGCAGTCACCTAGATTTGGAAAATTTAATGAGTAATAACACTTTTATTATAGGCTATGTTTTTTTTTATATTTAGTAGTTTGTATTGTTGTTGGCCAGAAGGAGTTTTCCTGTTATGTAATGAGCATGGTGTAATGAGTAGATGCTTCTTGGAAGATTAGATGATTTGATCAGTACAAAATTAGAATTAGGCTAGACTAGATGTTGATTGATTATTGAATTAGTTTTTCTGTTACTATCAGCCAGTTGATTACTTCAGGTTTGAAAAAGCTGAATTTGTGTTTTGACAAAGTAATAAGAAATAAGAGAAAGTGATGTAAGTTTGATAGAAGTTAGCAAGTATTTGATCTTGTTGTATTGATGTCTACTGTAACTTTGGTCTATCATTTAACAGTAGTTAAGCTAATTAACATTAGCATTAAGTGTATTGGACTTTGCTTGTTTTCTTTTACTAAACAATCAAATAAGAACTTACCTAGCAGTAGAAGTTCTTACAACAATATTTACATTTCATAGTGTTGTAAGTCTAGAATAGAAGTTTTCATGACTTGCTCATCTTCAGTAACACCTATATCATTTATTGTGTTGTAATTTAGCTAGAAAGAAGGCTAGTTGCTAGTTCTAGTGAACTTGAAAGTGTTTTGTTTGATTTATGTTAGGAAGTAGTTCTGGTGAGTTTGAAAGTGTTTTGTTTGATTCATGTTACAAAGTAGGTCTGTGAATTTGAAAGTGTTTTGTTGATTCATGTTAGGAAGTAATTCTGGTGAGTTTGAAAGTGTTTTGTTTGATTCATATTAGGAAGTAGTTCTGGTGAGTTTGAAAGTGTTTTGTTTGATTCATGTTAGGAAGTAGTTCTGGTGAGTTTGAAAGTGTTTTGTTTGATTCATGTTAGGAAGTAGTTCTGGTGAGTTTGAAAGTGTTTTGTTTGATTCATGTTAGGAAGTAGTTCTGGTGAGTTTGAAAGTGTTTTGTTAATTCATGTTTGGAAGTAGTTTTGGTGAGTTTGAAAGTGTTTTGTTGATTCATGTTAGGAGGTAGTTCTGGTGATTTTGAGAGTGTTTTATTTTGTTGATTCATGTTAGGAAGTAGTTCTGGTGAGTTCGGAAATGTTTTATTTTGTTGGTTAATGTTAGAAATTAGTTCTCATGACTTTGAAAGTGTTTTGTTGACTTATGTTATGAATTAGTTCTGTGAGTGTTTTATTGTTTTTTTTTCATTGGTTTTGTTAGGAAATGATTCTGATGAAGAAGGAGGGGGTACCCTGCAAAAAATTTTGCAGTTTTGTCAGGATATTCCTGTTGAAGTTGAAAAACTTTTAAAGGTAACTTTTTATTTTATTCTTAAATGTTAGCAGGGTTAATAATGAGAAATATATTTCTAACATGAAATTTTATTCTTATAGTGATATTGCAACATATGATGTTTCCAAATGAGCAAACATACATTTTTTAAAATTTAAAGTAACTTGTTTGTCTGTTTATTATAATTTTTTTTACCTTATATAAAGTGTAAAATGGTTAAAAACATTGGTTTTGGAACTACTTTATCAGCTTGCTTTAAGAACACTTTTGGTTTGGAACTACTTTATTAGGTTGCATTAATATCACTTTTGGATTTATAACTGCTTGATCAGGTTACATAAAGAACACTTTTTGCTTTGGAACTACTTTATCAGGCTGCTTTAACCCTCTCACTATGAGCTCAGTGGTTTACACTGATCTTATGGCCCAAATTTACCTTTATAGTTTTAATACTATAACTTGTAATGTGTTCTATGTGTCTTTACAAAACTTGGCAGGCTTTAGTAAATATTACGAGTCTTTTGTACAACAAAAAAGTCAAATTTTTTAATTAAGTATTTTTACTAAAAATCCATCCATGAATATATGGAGTCAAAATGTTGACTGCTGTGGTTCCAATTTGATTTTCATGTTAAAATTAAAAAATACTTTTCTTTATCTCAAAATTGTCAAATTTCATTTGTGTAATCTCTAGGACCTCCTAAATGAATATCAAGAGGTTTTTTTTCAGTAAAAGTATATTCTATTTGTTATTTTCTTTACCCTAACTATATACCCATTTGGTCGATGTGACTGACCTTGTAACCACCATAAAAAAAGGAAAACTTAAATTAGTCTTTTTCTTTCTGGAATGACTGCAAATTGTAACATATAACTACAGATGTTTATTCTAAATGGCTTAAAGCTCATAACAATATTCATCTGTTTATATTAGGTCATCAAGAAATTCATGTAATTTTTTTTAGATGAAAAAAGCCAAACAACTTGTATATATATATCCAAACAAAACATTTATTATATGAAATAGTCTCCATTTTTATCGATGATGCGTTTCCACCTTACAATCAAGTTGTTAATGCCCTGATTATAGAAATCACTTGGCTTTGAAGCAAAAAACATGTTAATATCCTCATTAACACCTTCCACATTTGCATACATTTTCTCATTAAGATGGTGTTTCGGCAAACAAAAAATATGGTAATCTGATGGTGCCATATCTGGAGAATATGGTGGGTGGGGGAGAACTCCCCAACCCAACTCCATAATCTTGTGTTGCGTCAAACGGGCCGCATGTGGACGTGCATTGTACTGGAGAAGAAGAACACCTTTCTGATTGACAAGTGAAGGGTGTTTCTAATGAAGGGCTTGATTTAAACATACCAGTTGCTGAATATAGATCTCTGCATTGACAGTTCACTGTGGATTGAGGAGTTCAAAATGAATTACTCCTTTGATGTCCCACCAAATGCAAAGCATCACTTTCTGCGGATAGAGTCCAGGTTTTGGGGTCAGAAGTGGTTTTTGTCTAGGACTGAGCCATTGTTTTTGGCATTTAATATTCACATAGAGAATCCATTTTTCATCACCGGTGATAATTCTGTTCACAAATGGTTCACGAGCATTACGTGCCAGAAGAGAAGAAGCAATGTTCACACGTTGGAAACGATGATCATCGGAGAGTTCGTAAGGCACCCAAACACCTTCTTTAAGAAGTTTTCCCATATTTCTTAGATGTTTACCTATTGTTTTATGAGAGACATACAATTTCAGGGCCATTTCACGAGTGTGTTGCCTTAAGTTACACTCAACAAGAATATTAAGAGCATCAATATCAATTCCAACATGTTGACCCCTGCCATCACAGTTTTTAAGGCTAAAGTCACCTGAACGAAATTTGCTGAACCATTGGTGACACTTATGAACAACGTTCAAAAAATTTCCATAAACTTCTTTGATATTCTTTGTGGCTACAGAGGCGTTGTTTCCCTTCTTGTATTCAAACAGCATTACATGCCGAATGTGTGTCTTATCATGTGCCATCACTGTAAGGGATTATAGTATACTCAACTTTACACATTATAAAGGCTACACTAACGTGACATTTAGGTGGTTCATTTAACTATTATACATGATGTTCGTTTTTTGGGGGGTGGTTAATGAAAATATTCCAAAATGCAACATTAATTTCTTGGCAACCTAATACTTAATTTTATTATTTTATTGCCCTTTGACCTGCATCTAACTAATAATCCTGACACACAAATTGTAAATCACTCAAGAAATGTGTAGCTCACATTGCTATATCGAATTACGTAACACATAAGCTGCTTGTGAGCATACCTTTTGAAGAATTTTATTATTATTTTTCATTATCTTACCTAATTTAACCTTATCTATCTTAATAAGTTTCTAATTTTTACATTTTAGCTACTTTTATAATAATAAATAAAGAACATATGTGAAAAATGAAAACAAGAAATATATCACTTTCCTGTGACCTCTTATTTTTTTGCTATCAGTTGCCAATGAAACTTAAGCCTACTTTTTATACTAATGGTACTAGTACACTAAATAATTTGTGTTCTCTTAAATAATGCACCTAAGAACACAGAATAATAAAATGCACAAAGCAAACAATGTCCTATAACTATCGTAATTTACCTGGCTTTCTAACTTCAGCATAAGAGTCTTTTAAGCTTGTTGATCTAAAGGCTGCAACAGAAAATATCAAACAGAAGATGAAATAGACAGATCTCTATAATGAAAACAAGGTAAAATTACACGTCATTTGATAAATTAAAACCTTGGCTTTCTGTTGGTTTTAAATAATATCGTATAAAATGTCATAGAGAACTAATGACAATTTGTAAAAGAAAGGACATGACAAGTGTGTCTGATTTTCTAGTTTATGACTCTGTAAACAAATAAGATTGAAGGCTATGAAACTTATGCTTTGCCATAGTAATATCTATATTATATTGAGTAAATTAAATTAAATTCTTACTTCTCAGAGGGATGGTAAATAAATCAGAGAAGACATAGAAAATTAATGTCACAATTCTCATACTGGGGCAGATTTAGGATTTTAAAATTATTTTCTTAGATAATTAAAACTAAAACTTGTATTGAAGTTTGATTCATTAACTATGTTTTGATGCCAAGTTTATTCATATACAATGATAGTAAATTAGTTTATCTCTTTCAGCAAAGGCTCGGTCCCTGGGACTGATCTTGTAACCATTTTGTGCTTGTTATAGCTTTCATGCTATAACTTTTAAATTAGTAAGCATATGTTCACGAAATTTGGCAGATTATCAGTAAACATTACAAGGCTTTCATCGCAGAGTATCGGATTTTTTATTAAGTCTTAAGGTTTGTTAAGCAATGTTTTTCTCATGCCTTTTCGCATGTTACCTAGCCAGTATACAAAGTCATTTTCATTTTAAGATTAAAAATACTTTTATGCATCAGAAAATTTTCAAGTTTCACATGTGAAATCTTCATAATGTCCAGACAGTTATCAAACATTTCTTAAGAAAAAACTTTTTATTTTATCTGTTATTTTCACTAATGAATCTCTGTTGATTTGACCGATCTCGTAACCACCATAAAAAAGTAGGAAATAAATATAAATTATGCTTTTTCATTCTAGAATGACTACAAATTATAACACAAAAACATAAATGTTTAGACTAAATAGCTTAAATCTCATAACATTATACATTTATTTATTATTTTTATTATATTGACCTTTCAGCTGTGCCTGGCTAACAATACAGAAGTTACAATGGACGTAGCTCATGTGCACTCATGTTACCATATCCAATAAAATATAACTGTCCGTTAGTCTTTACAAAGTGACCTGTCTTGGCTGTGTTTTAGTGGACTGTATTTTGTAAAATACAGTCACATTTCAATTATACATAATATATGTATATACATTATTACTATTTACAAATAAGTTCATAAACTTATTTTTCTTAAAACATAGAACAGTAAATAAAGAAGTAAAGCAAACAATTATCTCTTATAGTTATGACCTTTGTACTCATTTGTCATAGGTTGCTATGCCTTATAAAATTTTACACGTGGAGGATGTGAAACGAAATAATTTTTTTAGGTTTTATAAATACATTTGAAGTAACTAAAAAAATCATAAATTACTATATCGATACCATAGAATTTCAGTATAATTTATCAAACTTAGTAACTAAGTTGTATTTGAGTCTCAAAAATATGAAATTTCTTGGAGACTAAAGACTTACTTTACCAGTATGGAAATTTGTATCAAAAGAGTGAGATGACGTTGTAATACTTGAAAATGGCTGAGAAAGCCACTAGGGTGATATTCTGAGCTTTTGATTGATTATTCACATATCATATACAGAAGTAAGAGTATATATGAGAGCATTTTCAAAAATAGAAAGCGGTGAGGAGGGCCACTGTGTTTGATTCAGTACATGAGCGATATCTCAGGAAATAGAAAAGATAGGAGGTTTTTCTTTTATATTATAGATTGTTAATATTGGTAATTTGAGTCCCTAATTCGTACAAAACTATATATTTTGTATTTTGACATCACAAACATCTAATTTGTATCAGTGCTGCATTCAACATACCATGTGACATACAAAAATTGATTTTAGGTGTTTTTTTTTCTAATGTTTACTTTTAAATCAAGAAATCAAATAATGTATGCTACTAAAATTTGAATTATAATCTACAGTTTGATACCAAACTTATTGACATAAATTCATAAAATAGTAGTTCAATAAAATTTTTAATGCGAGTCAACAAATGTGATGACATGGCTTTTGACCCGTGACCTGTGTGGAAAGGTTAATTACATTTTGAATCTAACTCCCCAAAAAGGTTGTAACTTGCACACATTGACCTACCAGTGGAGGGAAAGTTAAGAACACTTTTAGTATTGAAACTACTTGATCATGTTGCTTTATAAATATTTTTGGTATTGAAGTTGCTTTATCAATTTGTATTAAAAACACTTTTGTTATTGGAGTTGCTTTATCAATTTGTATTAAAAACACTTTTGTTATTGGAGTTGCTTTATCAATTTGTATTAAAAATACTTTTGGTATTGGAGTTGCTTGATCAATATGTATTAAGAACACTTTTGGTATTGGAATTGCTTTATCAATTTGTATTAAAAACACTTTTGGTATTGGAGTTGCTTGATCAATATGTATTAAAAACACTTTTGGTATTGAAGTTGCTTTATCAATTTGTATTAAAAATACTTTTGGTATTGGAGTTGCTTGATCAATATGTATTAAAACACTTTTGGTATTGGAGTTGCTTTATCAATATGTATTAAAAACACTTTTGGTATTGGAATTGCTTTATCAATATGTATTAAAAACACTTTTGGTATTGGAATTGCTTTTTCAGGTTGCATTTGGCATTAGAGGTTTAAGCCGAAAAGAAATAGCTAAACAGTTGTTGAAGGCAGAAATGTTCCTGAAGAGTCAGCCTGTTCGAGGACGATCTGCTTCTATGGATGGATCATCTCCTGAGTCAGTATCACATCTTGCTTTGAATGAGGTAAGAAGATGTCCATGTTTTCAAATAAAATTTTAGCGATTAAAGTTAAACACTCACATAACAAATGACAACTGATAACTAATCATCAAACTTAGTCTCACATGATTGGCCAAATTTGAACCTACAGCCAACTGAACCAATCATGGGACCTTTCCATTTGCATATCATGAATCAGGCACAGAATGATTTTTATCATTTATAACGAGTTTATAAGATCTTATAAACTCACCATTTCGAAATCTGAATTAACTTATTGTGGCAGTGCATCAAATTATAATTTAGTATTATAAAGTGGGCCAACTGTTTGACGATGATCATCATTATACTGTTTCTTGTACTGCCACCCTGGAAAAACATTACACTTCCTCACATACAATGCCTATTGAAGGGTTTCATGATAGTAAACAGTTTGTGGTACTACCCTCCTTAATTGTCTGTTGAAAGGTTTCATGATAATACACAGTTTGTTGTACTGCATCCATAAAAAGATGTTCTACTTCTTGTACACACAATGTCAAATGATTTTGTACTTCCATCTAAAAATAAGTTATTTGTGATGAATTGACAACATTTGTTGCATCCTTAAAAAATGTTTTTATTCTTTATTTTATCAACAGAATGAAAAGTGTTATGTAACTTTTATAGTGACACTTTTGATGCTTTAAAGTTTAGATATCTTCAGAAATTATTTACAACTACTTATGTCTAGCCTAACAAACTGAAGAGTGATACCAGGGCTTTGTCTGTAGGAATGGTACCTCTAGGAAGTTTCAAATCATCCATCTTATCTCCTGAACATGTAAGTATTTTTTAATTCATAATAAACATTTCTCACTTTTTGATTTCACAGGTATTCAGGTAGCATAGTGCACATTGGAATGTAAACATGTTTTATGAAGAGAAACAGCCAGTATTCACTGAAAATTCTTTATTTCCTTAATATTTCAACTTATGGCTTTATCAAGATGTAGACACCCTCCTGAACAGAAGTCCAGTCTTAACAGTTCGATTCCTCACACCTGAGTAACTTTCTTTTAAGACTGGGCTTGCATTTAGTAGGGGTGTAAACCCCTTGATAAAGCCATTAGGCAAAATGTTGAGGAATCAAATAATTTTATTTGCATTTATGTTGATCTTTTCTCGTTTTGCTCTCATTTTTTAAAAATCTTCATTTTCTGCAATTTATGTAACATCTCACAGAGCCAGCTCGCTATAGTTTTTTATAACCAAACTTTTAGCCAACAAACATTTCTTTTAACAATATTTGACTATTCATAGCAACAATATATATCTGTCTAAATTTGCCCAGAATTCTTCCTAACTTTTGACATAAGTCAAATTGTGGACAGTTGAGAAGCCTGCATATGTCCCGTTACTGATCCAAAGGAGTGCCCTGATAGGGATCTAGGAAGGCAAAACTCCTCACCAAAAAGTAATTTTGACAAATTTTTGTGGAAAAAATCTCCTGGAGTCTTTAATTCTGCTTTGAAATATCTGGCATTAGAGAGTATAAATATAACCAAATGAAAAAAGTAATGAATATAATCGTAATCTAGCTTAAACATTTAAGGAAAGGTTTCAAGCTAAAATTCTGAGCAATTAACGTTTGTCTGCATTTCTTAAAAAGATGAATCTGTTTGACCATAGAAATATTAAAAAAATTACATTGCTGTTCTGTCAAAACTTACAGAATGACTCCCTTAAGTATTTTCACTAAATTTATTTCTCATTGTCAAAACATTTTATGTAAAATGCTTTCTGATGGAAAAGTCTTTCACACTCTATCAAAGTCCATCATCTACTGCATAATTTTAACATTTTCTAACAGCGAAAATTACATCTTCTAGAAATAAAGAATAGCAGATGGAAAAGTCTTTCACATGTCTATCTAAGTCTGTCATCAACTGTATAATGTTAACATTTTCTAACACCAAAAATGTATTTCCAATAGGTGCTTACCTCTCTCACATATAGCTTTTCCAATGCACTGCTTCCTTCTATTATGTGATCTTTTTGTTTGCCACTAGCCATGAGGTCCCCACGTAATCTTGTGTTTGCGATATTGCTGCTTTGTTGCGTACAAGTGAGCATATAACAACACTTCACCAATAGGAGTGCAACACTGCCCCCTAGCACAAATGGCTCCCTCTATATTGATTATTTAATCGTCTCTTCAAGATTAGGCAAGAAAGTAAGATGCACTTTATATGGGGAGGAAAGGTTGGAAGTGTGGGAAGAGGTATCTCTTGGAAATACATTTTAAGTGTTGGAAAATATTAACCATCAAGATACGTAACCTCAGCTCGCATATAGCTAGAATCCCATATTGAAGTGATGGAGGGACTGATGCAAAATTTTATCTAGGTGAACCCCCTTTTGGGAAGTGGCCAATGAGAACTCATGGAGTGTGACACTCTATACCATGGAACAGTATGGGGGTACATCTGTGGGATACAACACCTTAGCTATACCTTCATTCTTCATGCAGAAAGGAAGTGTTGAAAGAATGGGTGGAATATACAGGTACAGGCGAGAACCTGCATCAGGCTTATGAAAGTGCTATGTGTGTTGTGCAGATAGGGTTCGTCAAACTGAACATAGTGGATCAATTCCAGTTCAAAACCAGGCAGCACTTGGAATTTGGTCTGTGGGCTGTAATAAGGGGAGGGTCCCTACCATCTTCACCTCAAGCTGACTGAGGCAGAACAGAAATTTAACATCCAAACTGCAAGTGAGTGAAGACTTATATTGGCTTTTCTTGTGCCAATCCAACATCAGACTGCCCAGGAACTCAACATCCGGACAGCAGTAGGATGGGAGAAAGCCTGCAAGAGGGGTGAACTGTACTATATGGACAGAACACTGGTGCCCTCCTTTCTACTGAGTGGAATCGGTCACATTCAGAATGCTGCCTCCATGGTCCAACAGCCTAGTGGCTAAGAACCAGTGAGTGGCAAGAACTACCATGCTCAACTAGAGAAAATAGGGAGTGAAAGTGCATTAGAGGGCTCAGAAGAGTGAATCACCATAAGACAGTGCAAGAGGTGTCCATTAAAGCCCTATTTTTAAAAGTAGGCAAGAACTAGATTTTAAACTAGGTGTGGAAGATGGGAGAAATCTCCTGCCTGCTTTACTCATGATAGTCCATGAGTGGGTATAGTCTGGATCAAGCATTGTTTAAGATAATGAGCACCTCAAGTGGTCTTGTAGAACACCCCATCTCATGGGTGAGTGCTATATCGGGCAGGACGGCCCTATATTGTGCAAATTTTGTAGGGGAGGTAACGTTTGTCACTCAGCGGAATCCTGTAAGGGACTAGAGAGGTTTGTAAAAAGAGGGTAATCGAAAAAGTAAGAATTACCCAGTCAGAGATGGTATGATGTGTGAAGAATAACAACTGGAGACAGTATATAGCCCAATGAGGAAGAAATAGATAGATGATGAAGATAGTGTGTGACAAAGGTGTGAGGGGTTGTCCACATGCCACCCTGGACAACCTTCTCCAAAAGATGATGGAAGTGAGCAGCCAATGAATGAGGAAAAAGTAATAACCTAATATAAATCTAATTAAGAATTTTTTTTATATGACACATTTTAAACACATTCTGACAAGAAATGTAAGATAAGAAGTGTAAGTTTTTTTGATAGATTTCTAACTTTTTTCCTATTCCTGATGTTCTGATAAGAAGTGTAAGTCCTGTTGATAGATTTCTAACTTTTTTCCTATTCCTGATGTTCTGATAAGAAGTGTAAGTCCTGTTGATAGATTTCTAACTTTTTTCCTATTCCTGATGTTCTCATAAGAAGTGTAAGTCCTGTTCATAGATTTCTAACTTTTTTCCTGTGCCTTATGTTCCAGTTGACCCAGCTATGGGGTTGGTTGCCTGCAAGGATTACTATGTCCCAACCAGTTGTCCTCTTTTCCACCAATGAACATGGTAGCAGCCTAATATCTTTCTTTAAGAAAGTAGAGGAGTGGGAACCAACCATTTTGGCTATCAAAGCTGATAATGATGAGGTATCTATAAAATAAGAACTTGTATTACAGTTAATATAAACCCCACTCAACATAACTTTGTTGTATAGTTACTATAGACCCCACCTAACGTAACTTGCATAAGCTGTGTTACAGTTAATATAGACCACATCTAACATAACTTGTGTTACAGCTTATAAACCACACCAAATACTTAGATAAGTTTGAGTACCATTTTATCATTAACACAGTAAAGATGTTTTTATGTTTCTTTGTGTTTGTTGCTCATTTATTTTGTGTCATGCTTTGTCACATGGATGAATTTACAGTAAGAATTTTATTAACAGTGATGTGTTTTTTTTACTTGTGGTTTTATATTTTTATACTGTTCAAACATGTATTGTTAATAGATATAAATGACTAGACAATGTAAAACATTTTGCCAAAGGAAATCAACAACTTGGACATTGTTTTACTTTCAAACACTTAGTGCTTTAGCTACCGTGTCTTGTATTCTCATCTCTTCAGTATGATCTTTGAATGTCATACTTAGTTAATGTCTTGTACTCTCATCTCTTCAGTGTGATCCTTGAATGTCATACTTACTTAATGTCTTGTACTCTCATCTCTTCAGTATGATCTTTGAATGTCATACTTACTTAATGTCTTGTACTCTCATCTCTTCAGTGTGATCCTTGAATGTCATACTTAGTTAATGTCTTGTACTCTGTCTCTTCAGTGTGATCCTTGAATGTCATACTTAGTTAATGTCTTGTACTCTCATCTCTTCAGTGTGACGCTTGAATGTCATACTTAATGTCTTGTACTCTCATCTCTTCAGTGTGATCCTTGAATGTCATACTTAATGTCTTGTACTCTCATCTCTTCAGTGTGATCCTTGAATGTCATACTTAGTTAATGTCTTGTACACTCATCTCTTCAGTATGATCCTTGAATGTCATACTTAGTTAATGTCTTGTACTCTCATCTCTTCAGTGTGATCCTTGAATGTCATACTTAGTTAATGTCTTGTACACTCATCTCTTCAGTATGATCCTTGAATGTTATACTTACTTAATGTCTTGTACTCTCATCTCTTCAGTATGATCCTTGAATGTCATACTTAGTTAATGTCTTGTACTCTCATCTCTTCAGTATGATCCTTGAATGTCATACTTACTTAATGTCTTGTACACTCATCTCTTCAGTGTGATCCTTGAATGTCATACTTAGTTAATGTCTTGTACACTCATCTCTTCAGTATGATCCTTGAATGTCATACTTACTTAATGTCTTGTACTCTCATCTCTTCAATATGATCCTTGAATGTCATACTTAGTTAATGTCTTGTACACTCATCTCTTCAGTGTGATCCTTGAATGTCATACTTAGTTAATGTCTTGTACTCTCATCTCTTCAGTGTGATCCTTGAATGTCATACTTAGTTAATGTCTTGTACACTCATCTCTTCAGTATGATCCTTGAATGTCATACTTACTTAATGTCTTGTACTCTCATCTCTTCAGTATGATCCTTGAATGTCATACTTACTTAATGTCTTGTACACTCATCTCTTCAGTATGATCCTTGAATGTCATACTTACTTAATGTCTTGTACTCTCATCTCTTCATTATGATCCTTGAATGTCATACTTAGTTAATGTCTTGTACACTCATCTCTTCAGTATGATCCTTGAATGTCATACTTAGTTAATGTCTTGTACTCTCATCTCTTCAGTGTGATCCTTGAATGTCATACTTAGTTAATGGCTTGTACTCTCATCTCTTCAGTATGATCCTTGAATGTCATACTTAATGTCTTGTACACTCATCTCTTCAGTGTGATCCTTGAATGTCATACTTAGTTAATGTCTTGTACACTCATCTCTTCAGTGTAATCCTTGAATGTCATACGTAGTTAATGTCTTGTACTCTCATCTCTTCAGTGTGATCCTTGAATGTCATACTTAGTTAATGTCTTGTACTCTTGTCTCTTCAGTGTGATCCTTGAATGTCATAC